AACGCCAAGAAAGTCATCCATCTATTTTCTCAACCCCACTCAACCACGTTTGAAAAGCCACTGATTCCCATAGAATAGATGAACATCATTTTCAGGAGGGTCACACAGTAGATATGAGGTGTCTTTAGGTTTTTATTTTTTATAAAAGTTATTAAGACTGAAATTTGGCATTTTAAAAAAAAAAACCGAAGTAGCACATACCAGATAATTTCTTCATCCCAAATATAAAATCCTATGCTTATAATTTTAAAATACTCAACCAGCTATGGGATATTGTGCAAATTTTATGTCTACCAGCGACCCCGAAGCTGACCGCATCCATGTCTCTCTCATACGTATCTTCCGGGTAACCTGATTCAAATATTACTGACTGCTGTGGCCCTGGGCCCTTTGACATCCTAGAAACCACCTCTTTGGAACTTCCATTTCCACTATTTTATTTTTAACCTGCACTCCGAACTCCCCACAACTTCACTTGCCTGATTCCATCCCACAGAAAGAAATCTGAGAACCTGAAATAATCCCCTTTTATCAAACACAATAAAACTTAGCACCTCGAGACTGTCATAATCTTGTCTGGCAAAAGTTGACCTAGCATGATAGTTTACTGACATGGTGGAGGGAAATCTAAATGAAATCAATGTCCTATATCAGAAGAGAGCGAGCCAAGATCCGGTGTTTCCGTTCCAAGGGCAAAAACCACCGATCGAAAGCTACAGGCAGAGGCTTAATGTAGCGGATACATTTATACAGTCAGACCCTTGTATGCTGGTGAGAGACTTTGCCCCCAAAGTCCAGAGTCAAAAACATGGAGATTAAAAAATAGCGATGGAGTAAGTGGATGCTTCACGGACATGCTCCCAGGTCCAAACTGGAATTACAACTAAAATACAGAAGAACTTACTGAATAATCAATGGAAGACTTGCTGGAGAGAATCCTGATAACCAAGGACCAAAAGTGGAGACTGCATAGAGGCTGGTAAGAGGGGCAGAGGCGCGAAAGGGCTGGCTGGGCCCCCACAGACAGCAGCTGAAGTTCCGGAGATATCTCAGCTGTGGGGGGTTGCCACTGAGAACTCTGGGATCTAATTCCCAAGGTAGGCCCCCCAGCAGAGAGCAACAGAACTGAGAAGGGTACCCACATAATCTATGGCTGTGAAAGCAGTGGGGTAGCTGTCTGCCAGGGAGAGATGGTTGGAAATTCAGGCACCCTCTTAAAGGGCCAACAAATAACATTCCCTGTGGAGCCACCCATCTTGTGCTCGGAACAGCAGAGTGGACTGGAGCTGGGTGAGCAGAAGCCAGGATCCAGGGCTCTGGGGTTAGAGCTCAGAAAGCAGACACCTCAGTTTCCTGTGCTGAACCATTCCCTCATTCTACAAAGGTCATCTTTCTCACACAGACAATTGCTATACAGGCTGAATTGCCTGGGGGGGAAGACAGCTGACCCACCCTATTGGAAAACACCTTGTCCCTAACAAGACTGAGAATAACAATTAGCCTCCAGGCAGCAACAATTACCCCACCCTGTTGAAAAAAAACTCTTGCCCTGTGTACAATTGCCTGAGGGCAGATCAAGAGGAATCCTATCAGTCTGTAGCCAGAGGCGGTCTCTGGAGGCTTTGAGTCTTTGCTTGATCTAATTCATCAGAAACAGCATTTGACACTGTCCTGCACTAGAGATTGAGAGGTGTAGCAGATCTACCTAATACCTAGTCACAAACCCAAACAGGCAGCCAAAATGAGGAAACAAAGAAACAACCCACAAATGAAAGAACAAGAGAATTTTCCAGAAGAAGATATAAACGAAATGGAGATTAAAAAAAACTTATCTGAAACAGACTTCAGAATAATGATGGTAAAAGTGCTCAACAGCATGAGAAAAGATATAGTAACTATGAAAAAAGAGCAGTGTAAAATAAAGAATGATATAGCACAAATACAAAACATATTGGAAGGAATACACAGCAGATTAGGGGAAGCTGAGGACCAAATCAGTGAATTAGAAGACAGGGTTGAAAAAAAAAATCACTCAATCAGAGAACCAAAAGAAAAAACAATTAAAAAACAGGATGATAACTTAAGGGAGCTATGGGACAACATGAAACAAAACAACATTTGAATAGCAGGTGTGCCAGAAGAGGCAGAAAGGGAAAAAGGGATAGAGAACGTGTTTGAAGAAATAATGGCAGAGAACTTCCCTAACCTGGTAAAAGAAAAAGTCACACAAGTACAGGAGGCACAAAGAACCCCAAGCCAGAAGAACCCAAATAGGTCTACACCCAGACACATCATAATTAATATGCCAAAAATTAAAGACAAAGAGAGAATCTTAAAAGCAGCAAGAGAAAAGCAAACTATTATCTACAAAGGAGTTCCCATAAGGCTGACACCTGATTTCTCATCAGAAACTCTATGGGCTAGAAGGAAATGGCATGAAGTACTCAAGGTAATGGAAAGCAAAGATCTGAAACCAAGATTACTATATCCAGCAAGGCTATCATTCAACATAGACGGCCACAACAAAACAAAAAGAGAGCCCACTACATGAGAGAACATATTTGCCAATGTTATATCCGATAAGGGTTTAATCTCCAAAATTTATAGGGAACTCATACAACTTAACAAAAGGAAGATAAACAATCCAATCAAAAAATGGGCACAGGATCTAAATAGACACTTTTCTAAAGTGGACATACAAAAGGCCAAGAAACATATGAAAACATGCTGAAAGTCACTAATCATCTGAGAGATGCAAATTGAAATGACATTGAGGTACCATCTCACATTGTCAGAATGACTATCATCAACAAATCAACAAATGACAAGTGTTGGCAAGGATGTGGAGAAAAAGAAACCCTCGTGCAGTGCTGGTGGGAATGCAAACTGGTGCAGCCACTCTGGAAAACAGTATGGACTTCCTCAAAAAATTAAAAATGGAACTCCCATTTGACCTAGTAATCCCACTTCTAGAGAAGAAATCAGAAATACCAATTAGAAAGAATATATGCACCCCTATGTTGATAGCAGCACAATTTACATAGCTAAGATTTGGAAACAGCCTAAGTGCCCATCAGCAGATGAGTGGATTAAAAAACTGTGGTACATCTACACAATAGAATACTACACAGCTGTAAAAAAGAAAGCACTCTTACCATTCGCAACAGCATGGATGGACCTGGTGAGCATTATGCTAAGCGAAATAAGCCAGTTGGAGAAAGATAAATATCATGTGATCTCACTCATTTATGGAATATAATGAACAACATAAACAGATGAACAAAAATAGATCCACAGACATAGTAGCATCAAACAGACCACCCATCCTCAGAGGGAAGGCAGAGGAAGGTGGGAGGGGGAAGGGTAAGACATCAACCAAAGGACTTGTATGCATGCATATAAGCATAACCAATGGACACAGACAGTAGGGGGGTGAGGGCATGTGCGGGGGAGTGGGAGTGGCCAGGGACAGGTCAATGGGGGAAAATGGAGACATATGTAATACTTTAAACAATAAAGAATTTAAATTTTAAAAAAATAGTCAAATAAAGAGCTTCTCGGACAAAAAAAAAAGGCTAAAGAAATACATCACCACCAACCCAGCATTACAAGAATGCTAAAGGGACTGCTGTAATGAGAAGAAGAAAGAGAGAGAAACCTAGACATACAGAATTAAAATGGCAATAAACAAAGTCAAAACATTTCCATAAAATCGAGGCAAAAAAGGAGAACCATTCAATGTGACAATGCGATAAAAAGAACAGGATTCAAGGTCCTTATCGCAATCTGAACTTGAATCTCTCTGCAGGCTTGACAAGGAGACAGTAGTCATTTACATTCCTCGTAAGGTGATCACTTTCAGGCCACACTTGTGTTCTGAAGCAATTCTAAGGTCGATGGATCAGGGAAGGGAGAATATAGGAGGAACACTACACATTTTGCCTGTGAAAATGGCAGCCATCACTCGGCCCAAAGGATCTCAAGGTTTCAAGGGAGGCCAAGACCTCAGGAGGGAACTACAACCAGGGCTGGTCAAGTCCTTCCTCTCAGGAGCAGAAGTTAGGAGGGTTCCAGAGAGGAAACCATGCCTCATGGCAATGCTGCAGCAGCATTTTCTGTTCTTCAGAGCCAACCAGTGAGGCTGTCACTGAGACACAGTCACCGAACAACGACTCAACGCATGGGGCAAAGAGGGATGTTTTTGAGAGAAGGCACTTCAGGTAGCATGTTAGCAAATCCTACTGCTGATTCAATCTGCCACACAGCCTGTTAGGATGCTCCTGCTCCCGGCAGCCTGACTGCACACATGCATGGAGGCCTGAATGATACCAGTAGCAGGAAGAGAGCTCCTACTCACCTCCCTCTGCAGAGGCCGCAGTGATGGGATGGTGCTTTCAAATGCTCTGCCCCCTAGACACATCCGTCCTTACAAGACCAGAAGTGATGATTCAGAAAAGATGCTTAGGGCTCGCAGAACTGGTGCAGGAAGCTTCTGGAAGGCCCTCTCTTCCAGCTTACACATGCCACTGCAGCTTCCCAAGGCCACTCACTAGCAGCTCCTACTTCTACTAACAATAGTTTTGTTCCTTGGTACTGGTTCTGACAGTTACACTGGGGACCCCCAATCAACTACACCTCCACTTCATGCCCTGGTGGAGTCCCCTCTTCCTGAATCTGGGTCGGGCCTGTGACTTGCTCTAATCAACAGAGGACAGTAGAAGTGATGCTGGACAGTTCTGTGGTTAAGTCGTAAGAAGGCCTGGCCACTGCTGCCTTACACTCTTGGGAGATCTGAGCTGCCACGGAAGAGGCCCAGCGACCCTGCTGTCGAGGCCACATGGAGAGACACGTGGAGAATGAGACCCGAGGACCGCGTGTACAGAGAGGGGCCCAGCCACCCAGCGTCTCAGCCAACCTGCCGGCCAGCAGGAGAGACACCAGCAAGCGACACCAGCAAGATGCTGAGCCCCATCAGACTGAAGAATAGACAGGAACAAAGAGACATTTTAAGCCACTATGTTTTGGGTGGTTTGTCAGCAACAATTGAAAACCAAAACACTGGTTATCCACAGATGCATTTTTTTTAAAATACAAGACAATTCTCAAATGAAAAAACAACACACACACACACACACATATATATGGCAAACATTTCCCCACCACAGTAGGCTGAATGGTCATTGGTTATCTGCTAAGAAAAAGCACACCTTGATCCTAAATTCCCAGGATTTTCCCCATGATTTCTTAAAGGCAATACAAAGGAAGAGAGTCAAGTTCTGAAAGTCTGGGGCACTGGCCTAATTGTCATTTAGCCCCCCAAAAAAGAGGCCATCAAAATGAATTACCCATTACTGGACAAATGATGATAAATAAAACTGTCCTCATTTCTACAGGATGTTGTCATTTAATTTCCCCACTTTTTCCTCTAACAAGTGCCCCATTATCCCCCCCAAAGAGGGGGGAAAATTAAATTTGTTAGGCTTATAAAAAGAAAGAAAAATGCCAATAACTAGGATTCGAATCACCACCATCTGCAAAGTACAGAGCACAAGTTAACTGCTTCCTCAATTTAAAATAAAACTCTATAAAATATAACACTGTCTACACTGTAGAGATGATTGCTTATCTGAGGAAATGAGCAACTGGAAATCGGGTGGTGCTGAGTTAGAACGGAGTGGTCTTTAAATGGTTTCAGATTCTGTTCATCAAAAGGGAGTCGACCACAACGCAAGCCTTCGAGGTTCAAGTTCATTCTTCACATAAACTTTCTTGCATCTGTTCTTGATCTTTTCATGGAGAGGGTGAAGCCCACCTCTGAGAAGAAATAAATGAGAATTCTGAAGGAGCATGCATCTAAAAGTCCAGCAAGGCATTAAACCACTTAACAGAAGATTTAAAGCTTTTTAAATATACTGCTCATTGAAATGAGAATTTCAACATGAAATACTAAAACTATGAGTTTCTAACTTATCATTAAAACATACAGTGCACATGGGTCACTGTCTGAAAAGGTGATTGACAGGGTGGAGATGGACAAGGGAGATGAATTTCCAGCAACAGAGCTGAAGGGACGTGCAGTGGAGCCAGTCGGAGGCTCTGGCTGTCCAGTGCCCTGTGTCACGCAGCCTGTCAGAGGCCTCCTGGGATGAGAACTGAGACATCCTGACTCCAACCATCCTGTGCTGTGTCCCACGCTCCCCAGATCCTACAGATCATCTCCTGCACAGCTTGGACTAACCATATCAACCATTGCCCATCACCAATACCAACTATCTATCTACAATAAATGCTAAGCTTGCCCTTCTCAGAATTAATTCTGCATTTGCTTTTAATGCTTAATGCTAAAATAAATCCAGCTTGGAAAAAAGAAGTTCAGGGATGCCCAGCCAGTGTGGCTCTATGGTTGAGTATCCATCTATGAACCAGAAGGACACAGTTCAATTCCTGGTCAGAGCACCTGCCCGGGTTGCAGACTCAATCCCCCTCTCCCTTCCTCTCTGAAATCAATAAAAAAAATTTTTTTTAAAAGGCAGGAAGGCAAAAATAATGAACCAACAGCACTGCCATTTCCTACCTATTTCTGTGCGGAAGTTTCAGCGGGTTTTCTCATCTGAAGCTCTTCTGCTGCTGCATCAGACCCACGTTCTCATAGACTCGAGCATTATCTTCTCTCATCCTCAAAAGAAAAGAGACATTAACAGAAATGCAGACCATGTGGTTTAAGTTTACATGACATTGGTAAGGCACACAGTATATCTCTGGGGACCAGCTACAGTGAGGATATAGTTCCTGCCCCTGGAACCGGCATTCTAGAACAGGATAAAGGACATAAATATACAGCAAAGCAACTGTGAAATTAAAGTGAAATACGAGCCTCAAGCCCCTCTGCTCTCAGGGGTTTGGAGGAAAGTGAATTGTTTTCCAGGCGGGCAGAGCAAGGGAGGCCTGTGTAATGAGGACTCTGAGTTAGACCTTGAAGGAGGGCAGGGCATGTACACATAGGAAGGAATGGTTCTCGCCCTAGCCGGTTTGGCTCAGTGGATAGAGCGTCGGCCTGTTCAACCAAAGGGTCCCGGATTTGATCCCGGTCAAGGGCATGTACCTCAGTTGCAGGCTCCTTCCCAGCCTGGCCCCTGGTTGGGGCTCATGCAGGAGGCAACCAATCGATGTGTTTCTCTCCCATTTATGTTCTCTCTGTCTGTGCCTCTCTCTTTCACTCTCCCTAAAAATCAATGGAAAAATACCCTCAGGTGAGGATTACAAATAAATCTATACATATAAAAGGCTAATATGTAAGTGTCCATCCAGGTAATGACATCACGTAGCAACACCCAGCTTCCTCTCCCTAGCAACTAGCCTCCTTGCAGTTTCTTCAGCCCAGGAACATGGCCTGCTTTATAGCCAGGTGGAAACATTTCACACTGTAACCAAGTGTCAGAGAAGCATTTTCCCCATGCCTCATCTCATTTGAGCCTCACAGAAGTCCTGGAGTAGGTAGGTAGAAGACTCATGGATTCCTATTTTCTTTTCATTAGCCGGAAAATGGAGATTTACAAAGCTTAGAAACTTGACCCGACTGAAAAGCAGAAATGGTGGACCTTGAAAATGACTTCAGATTTTCTCACTGTGCAGAATATAGTCAAACACTGCTGCAGTTAAATATTTTACCCTTTGTTCTTCCTGTGTGACCTATAATAATAATCTGCTTTGTGTTGATATTTACTGCTGGGTTGCTGACAATTACCAGAAAGAGAAGTTGGGGTGCTTCACTGGGATGGAAAAAGTTTAGCTACATCAGAAAGCAGGTCTGCATAACCAGTGGACATAAGACATTGGGGGATAGGGGAGGCTAGGGGATTGTCTAGGGCGGGGGGATAAAATGGACACATATGTAATACCCTTTGTAATACTTTAAGCAATAAAAAAAAAAAAAAAAAAAAAAAAAAGAAAGCAGGTCTAACTAAGCAAGTTTATTCTATACATATAAAGGCTAAGTTGACTCGCACATGCACGATACAGTGGGGCCTTGACTTACGAGTGTCCCGACTAACGAGTTTTTTGAGATACCAGCTGTCTCTCAGCCGATTTTTTTTGCATTGAGTTGATAGAGTAATTTGAGTTAACAAACTCCTTAACGAGCTCGGTCTTGGAACGAATTAAACTCGTAAGTCAAGGCCCCACTGTACATATAAAGCTCTCGCTGGGGCCAATCGCATGCATGTGTTTCGATCTGTCATTGTCGATCGTGAATTTGGTTGACACTTCTATTATAGAGAAAAGGCAAATAGCGATATTAAAATATTTCTTCTAATTAATCTCCTTTCAATGTGCACAAATTCATGCACGAGAGAGAGAGAGAGAGAGAGAGAGAGAGAGAGAGAGAGAGAGAGAGAGAAGAGAGAGAGAGGAAGGAAGGAAGGAAGGAAGGAAGGAAGGAAGGAAGGAAGGAAGGGTTCTCACTTCAACCAGAAGGATCTGAATGGGCAAGAGTGCCAAGATGGGAAAGTGTAAGAGCAGTCAGGCCAGAAATCTGGTTACGTAAAGGGGAACATTGAACATGAAGCTCAGTGGGAGGTGGGAGGGTGGTTAGGGCCTTGGGATGGAGGCCAATGCATCAGAGCCCCGACTCTGCTGAGCAGGGAGGGGATAGCAGAGCAGTCCCAGAGAGCAAGGAATCAAGCAGCTGTGGGTGCCAACCAGGGGTGTGGAGACAAAACAAGGAGAGGGTCGGGATGTCCTGGGTGTGTGCCCTACGAGGGAATGACGAGAACAGAGAGAGAGAAACTGTTTATGTCACAGGCAGGCCTTGGTGACAAGGGAGTCATCAGAGCTGATTCTGTTGGGCCAACATGGGGGAAAGCTCCCTGGCAAGGACTCAGTCCAGACCTGCTGGTTCCACTGCAAATTATTACAGATGGCGATTTAAAATACCAACTTTCCCTGTCAGTCCGTAGGGAAGAAAAAAGCAGATAGAGCGAAGAGACAGCATGGTGGAGAGCATATTTTTGTTATATAATTTCATTTCAACATTAAATAGAAAGCAAATATAAACACAAGCCTCTTCTATGCCATTTTAAATGTTTATAGAAGAGTATTAAAGTCAGCAGGGGTTTAAAAATCCACATCAGAAGCATATAGAAATAAGACCCTTAAATGGGAAAAAGCAAATGTTATACCAGAGAATGGCTAGAATATATAGAAAATAATAATTACAACTGCCATTCACATAATCAATTTAACCTGTTTTCCTATCGTGTTTGTTTAAACATGGAGTTGGCAAAGTTTTTCTATAAAGAACCAGGGTAAATAATTTAGTCTCTGCAAGCCAAAAGCAGTCTCTGTCATATATTATTCTTGGTGCATGTGCATGTGCGTGTTGGTAACCCTTTAAAACCCATTCGAGAACTGTACTCAAACAGGCCACAGCCAGGATTTGGCCTGGGGGCTGTAGTTTGCTGGCCCCTGGTTTAAACACCAAGCAGACTTCTGTTGACTATGGACTGTGTTGACACATTAGTAGTGAATTAACTTACTTTTACTTAGTAAACACTCTTAATAAACCAAAGGGGGTGCTGTCCACCTCTGCAACAAATCCCATGCCATCAAAAGAATAATGAGGTTCTTCTAAAAAAACCACAACTCGATATACTCACAACCCCATGTAATCCTACTTGTGTGCGATCAGACTTCAGGTACATTCAAATTCAGGCAGCCACTGATATACTCACAAATCAGCTGGCCAACAATTCAATGAAAGATGTGTGCTACAAAGACTTGTAGGTGGTTGGTATTTTTTAATTTTTAGGGGTTTTTTTTGTAGAGCCTGCCCCAAGAGCCCAGCCTGGACCAGAAGAGCCCAGCCTCGCCCCTAAGTGATACCTCCTCTCCCAGCAGACCCCAGGGAGCCAGCCTCAGTGTGTCAGAGTGACTTCCACAGGCACCTCCTCCTGGAAAGTCAGCAGCCCTTTCAACCTCGGGCTCCCAGGCCACGTGTGCTCACTGAAGGGTCCTTTCCTCTCAGGCAGACCGGGGCTTCCCCATGGCCGGCTCAATGTGATTGTAATGGACCGAGTCCGGAATAGACCAGCCAAGGCCTAGGAGCCCAATCTAGTCCCAGAATGGCTGACAGTCGTTCTGAAGAGCCGGCCGAGCCCCTAAGACCCCAACCCAGTCACAAATAGCTAAAGACAGTCCCAGAGGGCGGAACCTAGCTCCAAAGAGCCTAGTCTACCCTGAATAGGCCAGCCGAGAACTAAGCCAAATCTAAGTCCCAAAGGGCTGAAGAGCTGAGACTAGCCCCTACAACCCAACCTAGACCCCAAAAGCCAAAGCCAGTCCCCAAGGGCAGACCGAGCCTCCAAGAGCCCAGCCCAGACCCAACAGCTGAAGCCAGTCAAGACTTGTAGTTTTTAAGCTTGGCTATAGAATTATGTTCAGGTGAAAAGAGTTTCCTTCATTACTACTTACTCCGCACAGGATGGAGTTGGGGTGCAAGGCGGGAGGGGGCTCTGATCTCCAGCTGCCTGGTCCGTGAGGGAATATTTAATATTTGTATACTCGTGACCTTTCCTCTTGCTTTTCTGAAAGGTGAAGATTGCATGTATAAGGATATGACTTTTTTAAGGGAAGAAAAAAGCAAAAAAGGCATTTCACAGAGAGAGAGAGAGAGAGAGAGAGAGAGAGAGAGAGAGAGAGAGAGAGAAACACTGAGTGGAGGGAATCATGCACGCTGTTTAAAAATGTAACTGTGAATGGAAGTTAACAAAGAACTCTACTTCAAAATGGCAGAATGTGAGAAGAACCACTTATAAAAACTCAAGCCCGACCGGTGTGGCTCAGTGACTGAGCGTTGACCTATGAACCAGGAGGTCACGGTTCAATTCCTGGTCAGGCACAGGCCCGGGTGCAGGCTTGATCCCCAGTGTGGAGCGTGCAGGAGGCAGCAGATCAATGATTCTCTCTTATCATTGATGTTTCTCCCTCTCTGTCTTCCTCTCCCTTCCTCTCTGAAATCAATAAAAATATAATTTTTTTTAAAAAGCTGGGAAGGGAAGTCCCTAAATTCTCCAAAACAAGGATAAAAACCAAAACCTCTGAATGAAATAGTGAGAGCTTTTCCAAGCCTTTCCCACCAAGAGTGCATTATGTGCTTTACGACATTTCCAAAGTTTCCACTTTGTACCCACAGTGATGCACTTTCTCTGTGTTTACTGGGAATCCTTCACTTTGAGCCACTTTATGCTTTAACCCTTCCTGACCCAAATTAAGTGTAACTGGAAGATAAATATACAATAGCCTATAGTAACAATCTACATATTTCATAGCACTTACAATAACACAGTCAGACTGAAAGCACGGAAGTTCAAAACCAGTAGCTTGTTAATGATTTGACCCTACGCTTCCAGACACACACTATCTCTGAAGATGTTTTTCTGCAATGAAACAATCTAGTGAGTCTTCCGGTGTGAACTGAGAACTGACCAAACTAATTAGTTGCCTCTGGCTGACCATTCTTTGTGCTGCCAGGCTAGAAACTGTTCAGTAAAGGTGGCAGGTCCCATTTTGAAAAGAGCTTAGTTCCTATTTTGAGCATAGCAACGGGGCTGGGGTGGGGGAGGGGAGGGAGACAAGCACAGCTCCCCAAAAGAGCAGTCTCCTCATTTCCCTCGTCTCAGCTCATTCCTAATTAACTCAGCTTTGTGTCTGTTATGAATAGCTTCAAATGGAAAGGCTCCAGCGCCACATTCTTCTTCATTATGCATGCTTATTAAAACTGAAATTTCACCGATTCCAACTCGACCAAATTAGTGGTTCAAACCACCGTATGCTATCAAGAGTGAAGCATTCATTTAAGAGATGGAATCAGGATAAATATGGTCTGGATTAAACTGGAACAGGCTGGAAACATCAAGACTTTAAGTTCTAAGCATGCCATGTGAGCTGGGGAAAACCGTACCCTTCCTATGTGGCACTTCCCCAAGCTGCCAGGCCAGGAGGGTAGCATGCGGCCCCTCCCCAAGCTCCTCCAGACTGAAAAATCAGAGCCATGAAGCAGGGAATAGTTTTCAGAGAAGCCCTTCCTGGTTGGGGGAATCGTTTCCCATTCCCAAATAAAGACAGTCTTCTGCCCTGGCCGGTGTGGCTCAGTTGGTGAAGCATTGTCCCATGCACCAAAAGGTCACCGGTTCAATTCCTGGGCATGTAGGGGGTGTGCAGGAGGCAGCTGATCAATGTTTCTCTCTCCTCCCTAAAATCAACAAACACTTTTTTTTAAATGTCTCCTATCAGAGCCTGTCCTGATCAAAAGGAGAGCATCTGCCCTAGCTGGTTTGGCTCAGTGGATAGAGCATCAGCCTGTGGACTGAAAGGTCCCAGGTTCCATTCCAGTCAAGGGCACATGCCTGGGTTTCGGGCTCAATCCCCAGTAGGGGGCGTGCAGGAGGCAGCCGATCAATGATTCTCTCTCATCACTGATGTTTCTATCTCTCTCCCTCTCTCCATTCCTCTCTGAAATCAATAAAAAATATATTTTTTAAAAAGGAGAGCATTTGCCAGCTGCCCAGAAAAGAAAATGAAAGTCCGAGTGCCAGGCTGTGCAGGCTCGGTACCTGTTCTTCTTCAATCCTGCGTTGTAGTGTTTCGATATAATGCTGGACGGCCATATAGATGAACCGGTACTGTGCTTCTGTCTGGACCATCCCTGACCTCTGAGATCGCACCATCTGAATCGTTTTGGGAACATCAATGTCACAGTCGACACCTACAAAGCAAGCACACGAAGCATCAGGAGAAGGTGCAGAGCCAGGATCAAGAGGTTAATGCCCCACGTTTAGCAGGCTCAGACATAAAGCACATTTAGTCTTTAATGTTCTGACCAAGCACGTTCCAAGGGCTACAGCACTGGCCTCTGATCAATACCAATGATCCCGGATGATTACATGATAACGTGTCAGGGGTAGGGTTCCCCCACTTTCCAACTCCACCCCGTCAGCGAAGAGTGAGTAGGTGGCTGGGTAGAGACCACCACTGCATATTCAACAAAAGTCACACTGGGATCCGCAGATCCTGGGCTGCATTTTACGCCAAATGCTCAAACAGCATCACTTCTGTTCTCTGGCAAATGTATTGAAAGTTGGAGTCTTCGGCCCAGATTTGTGAAAATTTTTAACATTCAAATTTTCTTCCCCAGGCTATTTTCACTAGCACTTTCTGCCCATAAACTAAAAACAGGAACTGTAGCCTCTTGCCCTCCAGTTGACCTACCTTTCTCTCTGATGATGTCAATAAGGATATCAATCACAATGAACGTCCCTGTCCGGCCAATTCCAGCGCTGTGGGCAGAGGACAAGAAGCAATGACAATGAAGTCATTCACGGAAGTTTTATACTCAAAACCATGCTATTAATATGAACAGAACCAATATCTGCTCTTGGGAGTATTTATAAGATTGTCTATTTATATTGGGAAATATATTTGCTAAGAGCACAGGGCTTTGGAGTGAGTCCAACCTGCACTCGGAGCCCAGCTTCTCCAGCACAATGTGCCTGGGCAAAATCTCTTAACGTCCCTGATCCTCAGTTTCCTCATCTGTGAAATGGGGATAACAGTACATACCTTATAGGGTTGTTGTGAGGATCAAATGTGAGTTGTGTGTGAAAAACATTAGCCCCAGAGCTTTTAAAAAATTGAGTAAAGTTTCACACACATCTACTTGCCCAACACATGAATGAGATTTAGGAAACCAAGCTTTCCCCAGAATAACCATGAAGCCCGAACTTAGGCACCAGAAGCCTGCAAACTCTGGGGCAGAGGCCACAGAACTGGCTTCCAGAAGCCTGGGTGAGCAACGGTCCTAACCTTTTGAAGCAAAAAAGTATATTGTTGGGGGGGGGGGGGGGGGAATATATGTCATTTCTTGGTAAAATAGAATCACAAAGAAATGAACCCTAAATTACCCTATTAAAAAAGAAAACCAAGCAAACATTACCAGACTAGGAGCTCCTTGAGAATAAAGACTGTGTTCCCCACCCCTGTACCACCATTCCCAGTACCCAGCAGTCCTGTAGGATCTACAAGAAATAGACTTTGGGGTCAAAGTGTTCCTTAATGCAGTTTATCCATGCCTCAAAAAGAGATTAAATTTTTCCCACGGTTAGACAGCTGGGGGTAGGTAGGTTAAAAAAGCCCTGGGCGTTAGGAGCCGAGACAGGCTGTGGACGAGGGTGGGAGGGCTGGTCACCTGCAGTGCACCACCACTGGCCCCGCATCCATGATGCTCTCCTGCTTATGGTGCACCTCCTCCAGGAAGTCCAGCACACCCCCGGGGTCACTGGGCACGCCGTGGTCAGGCCAGGTCCGAAAGTGGTATTGCCAGACCGTTCTCTCCGTATTCCCCTGGAGTAGAGCCAAGAAAAACCAGAAAAGAATTAAATAAATCAAGGGATTGCGGCATTGCCTGATTTTGATCTTTCTCAGATCCCATGTGAGCCAGTCGCGCCGGTCAGCACGAAGCCCCTCCCCCTCCATTTGAAGGTGCTCGTCAGTTTTCCAGATTGCTCCTCCTCTTGGATCGGGCTGAGCAACCCCGGAGTCAACTCTTGGCCTTGGTCACAGAACCCAGATGTCTAGTGCGGCAATCTGTCCTTGAGGAAACGCCAACCTAAATCAACAGCAGCGAGCATTCCTCTCTGATCAGCCTCGTCCAAGAGCAGCTCAACCCAGGAGGCCACTGAGGTCGTGGGGCCCTGGGGCTCTCCTTCCTCAAGTCACTCGTTCCTCTTTGTTCTTTTGTACCTAACCCTTCTCCCCTCCCCCAAGCACACATTTTTATTATAATATCATAATATCTGCATTTCTTCTGTCAAGTACAAAATAGATAAGAAGTCAGGCTTTGCAATCAGATGGCTGGATTTAGGCCAAAATCCCAGCATGCACACACACTGTAGTGACTGGACAGCTCTAGGCCTCACTTTCTTCCTTTGCAAATAGGAACAATAGTCCCTCTCTCACACCACTGTGAGGATTAAACAGGAGCAACTAAACACACAGCCACTGCTCTGCAGATGGGAGGAGGCTCAGCATGTGGGCTCCTCTGAGGACAGTGATCACTAATTAAGGTCAACCATGGTCCCAAGGCTGCAAAACACGCAAAAGCATCACGTGCGGGGTCCACCCGGGTGAAGTCACTGAGCAGCACTATTCATCGTTACATCTCCTTCTGGATCTGGAGGCAATCCAAGCTAAGTGACATTTTAAAAGGGGATTTAAAAACAAGGACAGAGTAACTAGACCAGTGTCCACAACCAGAATCTGAACCACAATTAGGATCTTTTCTTGAATTATGTGCATTTAATTTGCTGACATCACGAAAAAGATTTTTCTGGATGTTACTGGTTAGCTAAAAATCAAGGGGCGACACAGTTGCAGGAAGGACAGTTGGGGAATGAGAGAAACCAGCTCCCTACTCATCCATGCTCCTTCTCCTTGATAAAGGTCCCTCAGGTCCCTGCCCCAACTTCTCCTTCCCAGGCAGTTAGGAGGCTTAAATGAAATGATGTGACAGCACGTTAGAAAATATGTAACATGTTATATAAAAAGCAGATAACAGGTGACCAGCAATTCTGGAGAAATGATGGGTCCTGTGTCACCACCTGCATCAGAGGGTGCAACACAGAAACCCAAACACCAACCCTTCCCATACCTGCTGCTCAAAAATCTCTGATACAAGATGGATGGTTTATCACTAAAATTGAAGAAAACCCCATTTGGAATCCTTGTCCAATGTCTTCTAAATCTCGCTCGCATTTCTGCTCGACAGCTGCCGTTTCCCAGCTCCTCTCGGCCACCATCAGAACTGCACGCCCACTGACATCAGAAGTCCCAGCATCCATCCTGGACCACAATCTCTGAGGTTTCCAACCCACTTTAGCCCCACCTCCAGGCGCTTCACTGAGCCCCTGCTCAGATTCCACACACTATCCTGACAATCACTCTCCATCATACACCCTCTCCATGCACTGTGACCCCAGGCAAAGCCCCCCAGACCGGACAGACACAACCACCCACTTCCTCTATTTGTATGGGAGAAACAGGGTAGAGTGTCCATGGAGGAAAGTCACACAACCAGGTGATTGGTGTCATACATATTCACGTTCACCACCTCATTGGGGCACTCAGCACTGCCCAGAAATTTACTGGATTTCTTTTCTTTTTTTCTTTTTTTTTTTTTTTTTAATATATTTTATTGATTTTTTACAGAGAGGAAGGGAGAGAGATAGAGAGTTAGAAACATCGATGAGAGAGAAACATCGATCAGCTGCCTCCTGCACATCTCCTACTGGGGATATGCCTGCAACCCAGGTACATGCCCTTGACCGGAATCGAACCTGGGACCTTTCAGTCCGCAGGCCGACGCTCTATCCGCTGAGCCAAACCGGTTTCGGCAAGAAATTTACTGGATTTCTTGCCATAGCCCACTGTCCACTCGGGCTCAAAACCCTAAGATGTCTCTAATTCTTCCTCCTCCTCCAATAATAGCCAAACTACCCCCTCGCCCTGCAGACTTCATGCCTGGGAATCTTTCACATCCATGGCTTTTCTTGCAGAGTTTGCTCTGGCATTTTAACAAAATGTGCATTTCCATAGGAAGGACTAAGAAGGGGACAACAAGCAAAACAACTGCTGGCGTCTCTGGGAGATGTAGAGAGAAGGCCATTAGACCCAGACCATTGCAGAGGCTCCGAACAGGCCTCCCGACCATCGGGATCACCCATCCAACCCCTCTCCCAATTGCCCCGCTACCAGACACCTTCCTGGCACTCCATTCTGCATGTGTTCACTCGGCTGAGAACAGTCACAGGTTCTATGACAACTAATAAATAAAGTTCACACTTCTCAACATAGTGCTAAGACTCGGCCTCGACTTGGTCCCAACCTGTCTCAACACAAGTTTATCCCCTAGATTCCCAAGTGCCTTCGTTCCCCATAAACCCCACTTTCCTGCAGTTTGCACTTCAATGCCGTGGCTCACAATGGCACCTCTGTCTGGGAATTCATCTCGCACGGAATCCCCATCCTTAAGGGCCCAACCTCTTCTGAGACTGTCTCCCTGGTGCCCTAGCTGGAAGGAAGCCCAGCCTTGGCAACACCATGGCACTTCAGATGTGTGGGATGGCCTGTGTCTGCTCTAGAGTACGGCTACTTGTATATGTGGTTTCTTGCTGCTATGTGATCACAATTCCTTAAAGACAAAGACTGTTTCATTAAGCTTTGTATCCCCAAAGGCCTTGAATAAGAAAGCCCCTCTCTAACCGTCCAATTAAATAAATCCAAACCTAACCATGCCATCTAAAGTTAGTCAGTCCAGGGACAAACCTGAACTATATGCAGTTAAAATCTGATGCCGTGAAATTTGATCACTAAATAGGCCTCAGGACCTTTGCACTTGCTGCTCCCTGTGCTTGGGACCCTCTTCTCTGAACTCTAGATTCCAGACTCCTCCACCTTCAGGTCTCAGCTCAAGTGACACTCCCTCAGAGAAGCCCTCCCTGTGTACTCCATCTCAAGTACACACTCACTCTATAGCATGCCACCCTGTGCCTTCGCAGTCGGCACAATCAGAAAACTTAGTTGCTCATTTAAATTTTAAACTTCTATCTCTAAGCTCTGGAAGAGCAAAGGCTGTAGGTCTTGTCTGCAATGTACCAGCAGTGCCTTGAGAGTACCTGGCACATAGAAGGCATTCAACAAATGGCTGCTGAACCAATGAGTGAATGAATGGATGAATGATTGTAACTGCATGACCCTGGGTTGCATATCATAAACAGTTCCCAAAGTCTCTAAAATACGACAATATACTTACTTGTCCAACCTTTGACAGTTTAAGTTCTCTTAACGTATAGTCATGAGCGGCGCTTTCTTTGACGTTCCTAACACGCATGACCCCATATTCTTTCAGAGCAAACTCATCAGGCCAGTATTTGACACATTTACTCTGGAAGGGAACAGATATAAAAAGACAGTTAATATCTGTGAGCCAGCAGAAAGCAAATGTCCAAGTTTTGCTTAACAACCACTAATCTGGAGAAGGGCCTTTCCATCACTGAACTGTTGGATTTCCAAAGAAAAGGAGAGAAGAGTTCCAATTAGAAAGCAGGGACTTGGAGAACCAGGGAGGAGGGGGAAGAAAAGGCCATGTGTGCAGAGTTGTCCCATCCAACACTCGGGTCAAAGGATAGTCTATGCTTGTTTATTTAATTCTAAAGAATCACAGATGTGCCCAGCCGGGCAGCTTAGCGGTTGAACATCAACCTATGAACCAGAAGGTCACGGTTCCATTCCCAGTCAGGTCATAAGCCTGGGTTTGTGGGCTCAATCCCCAATGTGAGGCGTGCAGGAGGCAGCCGATCAATGATTCTCTCTTATCATTAATGTTTCTATCTCTCTCTCCCTCTCTGAAACCAATAAAAATATATTAAAAAAAAAAAAAAAAGACTCAAAGATGCAAAGAGAGGAAATGCCAGGTTGAGGGTGTTGTCTAGCAACCACTGAGATTTGAATTCTAGAGCTCTGCCAGCCGCTCCACAGGGGAGGCAAGCAAGGACTCTGGAGGTGGGTGAGCTGCCCAAAAAGCCAGGCCGTCTGGTTCATTTCCACCCCTGCGTAGGAGGGCTCTGCGCCTTATCTAACCCAAGTGTGAATACCTCCAGCACAGCAAGGCAGCCGCCGGGGTTTTGAACCAGCTGCTTTTTCTATATCCAGACCCATTTGCTACCTACTGCACACGTCACCTTCGCTTAACTGGGTGCCTGGGAACGCCAAGCCTGCAAGAGCTGCTGGCTTCAGAGCAGGCAGATGGGAAAATATAGCACCAAGAAACCATTCTTGCTGCCAAAGAGGAAGACACTCCGCTCCATGAGAGAGGAGTCTGTATATATATGTGCCCTGAGTAAATAATGATGTTGTGTTTTGGGGTCTTTTTTCTGGGCAGGGTCACCGATGCTACTTCCTTTCCACAACCGGACACAAATATCAGCAAAAGACAATTTCCTTGTATTTTAGGAAAATGGAGAAATTCCCAGTTATAAAAATGGACGTATCAGAGCAGCTGCAGACTAGCCCCCCACAGTCAATGGTCAATTACAGAAAAGAAAAACATGGTAGGAGGAACATTCAACGAATTTAATGGATGGTGCCACTTTTTTGCTTGGCACAGCTTGGGGTCATTGATTTATTATTATTTTGAATTCGGCTTTCCCTCCAGTGTTTTATAGATCGAAATACCCTGTGACAGATTTAATACCATTTTCCCCAAATGAACACCTTTAATATTAATTGTACTCAAGGCTGTTACTGGCTAATCAATTTGAGGACTGCTGTCACTCAAGAGAACACAAAATTAAATCGTAACTCTAAAAACATTTTGGCTCACTTTAAATAGCTGTGAAGTACTACAGCCCGCATCCCACTTTTCCAAACTCTGATGTACACCTTGACACAAAATCTCTAAACTGTGAGGGCTAATACTTTAGTTTTGAAATTCAAGCCCAGGGATCCAAAGGAATCCAGTCTGGCTTTTATTCTGTTCGGGAGCAGGGATGATGCTGAGACAGCAGGGTGTCAGGAGGCCTGTGGAGAGAATAAAAGCCCTCATGTCACCCTCTCCACCCACGAAGTGAAGGGGAAGAATAGGAAGGCAGGCGCAGGCTGGGATGAAGAAGTGAGGAGGAGGCAGTGATCGGGCCCAGTGTCTGCTGTAGGAGCCTCTGGCAGCTCATCTGAAAGAGACAATAATGATCCTTCTGAAGGGATACGAGTATCCTGTCTTTACACCCTCAAGTCCTCTGAGAAACAGGTGGCCTCCTATAACTCTCATCGGGCAACACATAGAAAAGAGGTTCAAGGGAGTTCAGCTTTCCTTTCCATACTGAGGGCAGGTGACACTCACCTGAAGCGGAAACTATGAAGATGCCTTAACTCATCCATTAATTCAAGAACAGCTAATGTTACTGCAGGAGACCTTTGTTTCACAAAGACCAGATTAGGCCTCAAAGATCTTCAGATGCGTATCAACTACTAGTACAACAATGAAAATCTTATCCAATCACACTGCCCTTCACAACTACAAGAAAATTACAGTAAGAGGGCTAAAATCCAAAATCGCCCATCTGTCTTATGTTTAACTTCCAGGTATGACTGCTACATTCCATGCAGCTTTTATAGAAGCCAAATCAAGTATGTCTAAAAACACACTTTGCCTAGAACACAAACACAAACACAGAACTTTTCCAAACTAAGAAAGCTGCGTGGACAGACTGGCTTTGGCTAACACACAGCTATCACTCAATGAGATCTGTCTGCTTCTCTGAGAGGGTGGATGTTATAATTTCTGAACACCTGAAGTGTCATGAAGAGTGTGGGGAGATGGCTGCCAGGCATGCGCAGCTGGGGAGAGTGCACACTGGGAAACCACTCTGGAAGGCAGTTTGGCAGAACCTACATAAATTTTCAACATGCACACCCTATGACCTAGCAATTCCCGACATCTATCCTAGAGAAACACTTGCCACATAGACACAGAAGCAAGAATAAGACTGTTCACTTCAGCACTATTTAGAAAAACTGAACACTTACATGCCCAGCACATGATGGTTAAATAAATTATGATAAATATACACCATGAAATGTCATGCAATTACTATGAGACAGAAGTTAGAACATGTATTTAGTGGGAGAAATACCCAAGATGCACAATAAAGTTACAGTATGAAAGCACTTTTTCATATAGTATTTTTCAGAAAATAGTACTATATACTTCTATAGGTACATATATGTAGGTAAAGGCATAAATATGTAAATATAGGTATGTAATGCCGATAGCAATGCCTTTTAATACCTATACATATGTAAACGCCAAGAAGAGTGTAGAATAATACACATCAAACAGGGTTTATGTTGGAGGAGGGGACTAAAGTGGATGGACAAGGGATGGTGATAAAGGCTACTTTACTAATAACTGTGCTTGAATATTTAATTGAATGTATTGTTCAGGTCATTCAAATTACTTTCTAAATGCTTAAAAGTCATGAACAGTAAGTTTATGTGACCAGGGAAATCACTGTTGGTTTACTAGTACTCTAATCACCTGAAAGCACCAGGCAGGCCCTTCTTACACTCCCTTTTCAACCACTGTTTCTGGATACACCGGAGTAACAGCTGGATTTGCCCTCCCACCTTAAACAATTGAAAAACCAGAAAAATGAAATAACGTGTAATAGGATTAGTAATAAGAACATTAAAAGTTATTATAAATGTATTGTATGTGTTCAAAGGTATAGGGGATAATGCACACGTATAAAAGAAGATATTTGCCCTAGCCAGTTTGGCTCAGTGGATAGAGCGTCGGCCTGCGGACTGAAAGGTCCCGGGTTTGATTCCAGTCAAGGGCATGTACCTTGGTTGCAGGCACATCCCCAGTGGGAGGTGTGCAGGAGGCAGCTGATCGATGTTTCTCTCTCATCGATGTTTCTAACTCTCTATCTCTCTCCCTTCCTCTCTGTAGAAAATCAATTAAAATATTTTTTTTAAAAAAAGAAGATATTAAAAAGACCTTAATAAAACTTCTAGAGGTGAAATGGACAATATCTGAATGAAAAATACACACTGAATAGGGCTAACAGATTACACACTGTGGTGTTGGAAAAAAACACCACACATGTAAATCCACAGATCCAAGAAGCTCAATGAACCCCAAGCAAAAGAAACCTAAAGAAAACTATACCAAGGCACATCATCATCAAATTTCCTCAACGTCCTTTTTTCCAGAGGGTCGGTTAGCTTCAGCTTAACTTAACTTGTTTATTCAATTCTTAACATGGTCAACCTGACGTGAGCAATCATTTTAAAATATTTTATCAGAAAAGTATTTCATATACCTTTCCTCTCTCCACTTCTTTCGTTGTCATGACAATCACTCGGGAGTTCTCTTGAAACACCATGCGCCAAAAGTCATTCACCGTATTTTGCAGGCAGCCTTGTGTAGCAATATAACTCTTTTTGGGCTTTGAATTGTTGCACTTGGTTTCAAATTCAGGCTAGAAATTTAAGAAGAAAATCCATCCAACATTTGAAAGTTGCTTTTAAGACAGAAGAAAGGATTTAAAATAAAAAATATGTATGGTCAGAAGGCGCTGTGAAGAGCTAAGTTTACCATGATAATATTTGCATTGATGTAATCGGACACAGGCTCGTTGGGGTCACCGTCATGTAGAACAACCCTGGTATGATCGACTGGAAGAAAAAGACCACAGTCACCAAAGTACTCAGACCTCTTCAGGACAAACCTGTTCAAATCCGTTCATCCTCAACATAGTCCAAGTTGTGTTCATTTAATGGTAAAACCACATTAAAAAATTAAATCCTAAATTAGCATAACAATAACCTGAGCACCACACTTTGCCTTTCTTTAAGAGAATAGTCATAAGGCCATTTTCCTGGTTTTGATAATATACTATGGACATATAGGATTTATCACTGAAAGTGCCATTTCTGGGACCCTCGTCCAAGGCCTCCATCCTTCTGGGCCTCTTTTACCCATGGTTCCCTATGGGCTCCACCTGACAGCATCTGGGTTTAATGAGCTGCGCCTTCTGAGCCAAGTGCAGGTATGCACCCGAATCTCCAGTCTCAGGAGCTAGTGGCATCAGGGAGCAGAGCGAAGAGCCCTCGAAGGAGCTTGTCTGTCCCCAGGTGAAGGAACAGAGTCTCAGAAAGAAGGTGTGCCCCAGGAGCCAGGTACCACAGAGCAAGGACACAAGCCCGGGACCCCAAAGGGCTCCTGGTGTGGCCTGACACTGGGAGATCATCGCTCTTAGGCAAACAGATTAATCAACAGAAGAAAACAACCACACTCAAAGCCTCCGCCTGGCAGTTTCACTCAGTAATCAGCACGCAGGAACTCCGTGAATGAGGCCAGCAGTCCCTGTCCCAGTGGTTTATTTTGGAAACGGCTCACAATTAAAAGAGGCTAAGGCCTTGGATCTGCTGCAAATCAAAATCTGCAAGAGTGACGATGACTGAGCAGAATGCTGATACTTACAGGGCAGGATGTTTTTATATCTGTTTTTGTTTTTATTTTCTTGCCTCTGGCCCTCTTTTCGGCTATAGAGAAGTTTGCACTCCTGTTGCTGTAGTGTCTAGAGAGAAGCAAAAGTGAATATTATTATGCGTCAAAAGCTTTAAAAAAACAACAGCTTGGCTTGGTTTCTGCTTTAAGGAATTTATCCCAGGAAATGTTCACAGTCCTGAGCAATAACTCTAAGAATGTTCATGTTAACACTGTACCAACAGTGGCAAAAACACCAGAAACAACATAAATGGCCAATGGAAACAGCTGCCTAAATAACACTATTGTTCATTCATACAAAAGAACCTTCTGCAGCCATTTAAAAGATGTTCTTGGAGACTACTTCATGCCTTGGAAAAAGAATCAGAGTAAGTGTTAAGTGAAAAGAAGCTCCACCTTGCAAAACTGTGTATGACGGAAGCCATATGTTTTGCACTCATATGTAAGATATGGCAGAAGGATTACACCAAAAAGCAATGGGGTTCTGTGTCAGATTAGTGGGATTATGAAGGCCCTTTCTCCTACTCCTCCTTCTCCTTCTCTATTTTCTCACCTTTTTTTTCTTACATTTTCTACAATGAATAAGTATTTATAAAAGATAAGCCTTTTAAAATAACAATTACTGAGAATAAAGATGGTAAAGTGAACCAAATACATGCTGACAGAAGATTAGACTTGGGTGATGAGCACACAGCAGAGCATACAGATGCCATATTATAAAGTTGTAGGCCTGAAATTCATGTTAGTAGCCAGTGCTACCCGAATAAATTTAATTTTTTTAAAAGAATGAAAGCCAGTGGGTACTGGTGTACAGGATACAAATAACAGATGTGACCCATGTTCTCGAGGAGCTGTTGGCCCGCCTCCTTTTACCACTGTTTACTTCAGAGCAACCCTTACAGATGTCAGTTGTCACATTTAAATACCAGAGAACCGCAGTGGTTGGGGACTGGGCCGCAGGCATGTGAGCTTTGTGAGCAAGGCTCTGAAGACCTCCTTTGTTAGAGCCACAGGCAGCCAGCCTGTATCTACACAGACATCCATCCCCTCATGGCCTTCGGAGCCAGAGAGTGAAGAAGAAAACTCGGGGTCCTGAGGCAAGTGGTCAGGAAGGGCACCTCTACAGGTAAGGGAGGTGGAGACCACAGGAAAGAAAGGGACTAACACAGGCAGCCACAGCGGGACTGGAACTGGCCCCAACAGAAGAGGGAATGTGCCCTAGCCGGTTTTGCTCAGTGGATAGAGTGTTGGCCTGAGGACTGAAGGGTGCTGGGTTCGATTCTGCTCAAGGGCACATGCCTGGGTTGCAGGCCCAATCTCCAGTAAGGAGTGTGCAGGAGGCAGCCAATCAATGATTCTCTTTCATCACTGATGTTTCTATCTCTCTCTCCTTCTCCCTTCCTCTCTGAAATCAATAAAAATATATTAAAAAAAGAAGAAAAAAAGGAGGAGGAGGAGGAGGAGGAGGAGGAAGGGATGTGGGGAAGTGGAAAGTAGGCGCAGCTGCAGGACAGACAGGAGGGTGGATGAGCCAGGCTGAAGCATTTTCAAGGAGTAGGTTTCATTCTCAAAATGACAAAAAGTGCCTCTTCGGAGGACCGTTAGTTTCAAACAAACCTAATCTGTAACAGGAAATCACGAAAGTGAAAGGGCAAATCAAGAAAGTGAAAGGCAGACTAAAAAGAAGAGGAAAAATATATATCATTTATATATATTATGCATAGACATACTTTGTATATGTGTTATGTATATATACTTTTATAAATATATATATACTTTATATATACATAATATAAATAAATGCCAAAATGGTTACTCCTTAAAGATTTCTACAAAAGTGCCAGAGTCAATATTTCATAACACAGCAGCCCTGTTATTTCCATCTCATTTGTCTGAATTTCACAGACAGGTATGAAAGTCAGGAGTTTAAATTGCTATTTAACTCTCATTTTCAAAATGCAATATTCAGCCGTGACACCGGGCAAATAACAAAAGTGTTTAGCTAGCTGGAACCTGGGCAGAAGTAAAATACAATGTGAGCGGAACTGTGACAACGAAACGTCTACTCAAAATCTTAAATGAGTGCAGATTAATTAAAGCCATCTGCCGTCTTCAAGCCAGCATTTACTCTGAACAGTGAGCCAGTCTTACTGAGCAGTATTTGCCATGTTATTAGGAAGGAGGTTCAATCTTGATTTTTGAACATTAAGGTGAAGTCCAAAAAGACCAAATACTATGAACTGACTCAATTGCTTAAAAATCAACGAAGAAAAACACCTCCAACAAAAGCTAAACGAATTTGACACTTAGGAAACAAACTTCACGTGACATGTCACTGGCGGAGGGCGCATGGCCAGAGCAGTCTCTACAAAAGGTGCGTTTCATCCAGGCCCTCTCTGTTTAATCACCTTCCCTCTCTTCCTCTGCCTTTAAGGTCAAGTCCAAGCTTTTCAGAACAACTCACAAGGCCTTCTCTTCTGAGCTCGTGGAGGCCTGCCGCTAACCTCAGCTTTTACTTCACCAAGTAAAGTAAAAGCCTGTCTGTATCTCAGGTTCCTCCAGTGCAAAGTGAGGAGAATCCTAATTCCCTACCCCACAGAGCTGATGGAAGAGTGACATGAGATTGCTTTGTAAAGTACAGAAACGGGCCTGGCATACAAGGAAGCACATAAGCCCAGTCAGTGTGGCTCAGTGGTTGAACATCAACCCATGAACCAAGAAGTCAAGGTTCAATTCCCGATCTGGGCACATGTCCGGGTTGCAGGCTCAATCTCTAGTAGAGGGCGTGCAGGAGGCAGCCAATGGATGATGTTTCTATCTCTCTCTCCCTCCCTTCCTCTCTCTCTAAAAATCAATAATTTTTTTTTAAAGCATATCCCTAGCTGGTTTGGCTCAGTGGATAGAGTGTTGGTCTGAGGACCTGAACAGTCCAGGGTTCGATTCCAGTCAAGGGCACATACCTCAGTTGCAGGCTCCCCCCCAGCCTGGGCCCTGGATGGGGCTCGTGCAGAAGGCAACCAATTGATGTGTTTCTCTCACATCGATATTTCTCTCTGTCTTTCCCTCTCTCTTCCACTCTAAAAATCAATGGAGCCCTGGACGGCTTGGCTCAGTGTATAGAGCGTCAGCCTGCAGACTGAAGGGTCCTGGGTTCGATTCCAGTCAGGCCCATTCCCAGGTTGTGGGCTCGATCCCCAGTGGAGATGTGCAGGAGGCAGCCAGTCAATGATTCTCTCTCATCATTGATGTTTCGCTCTCTCTTTCCTTCTCCCTTCCTCTCTGAAATCAATAAAAATACCTTTAAATAAAATAAATCAATGGGTGAGGATTTAAAAAAAAAAAAAAAAGAAGGAAAGGACAGGCAGAACCCCTGTCCCAAGCACAGTCAGGTGCTACCTAGCAGCTGTCTGCAATTAATAAGGACTAGCAATGTGTCACCGCCCTCCCCCCCCCCCCCCAGCTCATTCCTCAGTGCCCATCAGCCCATTCTCATCTGTGTCCTTGCCTGAACACATTTCATTTCCCACAGAGAAAGGCTGTCATCCATCTACAACCAGGCTGACAATAAAAAGAACTCAGAAGTTGTGAGTTCCCAAGCTCTGCTCTGAGGCTCCCACAGCCATGAGATCATCAGCAACCCCTGCTGAGGGTGCTTCCTCCCCAGCACCAGGCTGAGGGCTGGGAGAGGCAGAAGAAGGCCCAGCAAGCCCTGCCCCCAGGAGGTTACATTCCTTTCCTGGTTTATCTTCCACAACCTCCTTCTCTCCAGCAGCCCCTGGGGCACCAAAAGCTGAGAAGGACTGTGTCTCCATCAAAGATAAGGCTGGGAGAGGAGCAAAAAAGGCCCCTGTAAAGCTGAGACACAAGCTCCAGACACCCTGTTTCCCCAGCAATACAGCTCAGGGGTTTGCACCAAAGATGAACCCTCAAAAGGGCCTGAGACCAGTTCCAGTCACCTGATTGCATGAGTCAAAGCAGATCTGGAGACAATGGATTGCATCAAACTATTAAACCTTTAAAGGCATCAAGAGAAAATCAAGACACTAATCCAAGTTGTACATGTGGGAGATCCCAGCAGCACGACTGCCTGTGGATGCGACAAGAACTCACTGTGCAGAACTGTCCCCCACATTTAGGGCCAGTGAACTGCTCCCCACCCGTGGCCCCCAAAACGCCAGTAGCGGCTCCCCCAGTCAATGCGATGACCAAAAAGAAACCCCTACAGCCCTGGCCGGTTTCGCTCAGTGGATAGAGCGTTGGCCCGCAGACTGAAGGGGCCCAGGTTCAATTCATGTCAAGGGCACATGCCTCCATTGCAGGTTCAATCCCCAGCCTTGGTTGGGGCTTGTGTGGGAGGCAACTAATCAACGTGTTTCTCTTACATCGATGTTTCTGTCTCTCCCCCTCCCTTCCACTCTCTCTAAAAATCAATGGGAAATATCCTTGGGTGAGAATTAACAAAAAAAATACGTAAGTAAAGAGGGAAGGAGCTAAGAAGAAATGGAGGGCACAGCACAAGTCCACTCGATGAGGAAGACAAGACAATGGCAGAGGCAGAAAGTAGAAGGTCCTTTAAAGGCAAAGGGAAAAAGTGAAGTGGAAATGTGAAAGCACCTTTGGTTCTTAAATCTCTGCAAAGATGCCAAGGAGAGCCAGCAAATAAAAACAATTCTAAAGAGAAAAACATGACACTGGAGGGGCTGAGAGAGAGAAAGAGAGAAAGAGAGAGAGAGAGACCAAAGGAAATAAAGGCATTTCTCCAGACTGAAGCTTTTGGAATAAAACCTCTAACCGCTGCAACGCTCTGCCCACAGGAAGGCAGCAGCCCTTCCATGAGCTACTGGGAGCCTGGTCTAGATGGAAAATCCTGGGTACAGCTCATGCCCGCCACCCTGGAGTATTTTAAGCCCGAGGCTGCAGCCTGGCTGGGATTGTTGTTCACTGTGGCACTGATTAGTCACAAGGGGAAGATTTTCCACTAGGGATCACCAGAAAGAATGCTTATTCTAGACACAGCTTTGGGGTGCACTTTAAGTCCTGTTTCCATAAAACCTAACCATCTCAAAGGAGAAATTATAGCTCCCCTGAGAAGGATGTGATCACTTTTAAAGAAATCAAACTGGACTGTGGGCTTGGAGACAGGCGCGAGCTCCTCCTGGAGAGGCGCCGGTGAGCTGAGCTGCTGGTGGAATCAGGACATCTGTCTGGCTGTCAGTGAAATGACTGTAATGCCTGTGCAAACTGAAATCAGCTTCGGACCATGACGGAGAAGGGTTTGCATAACCCAAAGAAGGCTGGGCTTTAAAAACAAATCAAATTGCTAACGAAACAAGCTTTAAAGCGCGGGGGTGGGGGGGAGGGGGAGGACTCCACTTAAAAAGTGTCGTGTGGGTTTATATGTGTGTGTATTGTGTTTGTATGTTTGTTTGGTTTTGGGGTTTTTTAATATATTTTTATTGATTTCAGAGAGGGACAGAGAGAAACAAACATCGATGATGAGAGAGAATCATTGATCGGCTGCCTCCTGCACGCCCCACCCTGGGGATCGAGCTCGCAACCGGGCATGTGCCCTGATCGGAACTCAAACCGTGACCTCCTGGTTCACAGTTGATGCTCTCTGAGCCACGCTGACCGGGCTAAATGTTTCTATTGATTTTGAGAGAGAGAGAGAGAAACATCGATGTGAGAGAGGAACATTTATCAGCTGCTCCCACACACACGCACCCCAACCAGGGACCAAGCCCAAAACCCAGGTTTGTGTCCCAACAGGAATTGAACCAGCAACCTTTCAGTGTATGGGACAATGCTCAACCAACTGAGCACTCCAGTGAGGCTATACAAATCTATTTTATATACATTCAAAAATTTTTCATAATCAAGTGGGAGAAAAAGCACTTCCCAATTCAAACAAACTATGTGTGTGTGTGAATCAAGAAAATGTAAATAGTAGCTGATAGGTATTAATATTAAGGAATTACTATTAAGAGTTTTGGATGTGATGATATTCTGGTTATAATTTTTAAAATGGAAGTTAAAGATGAAATGACATCTGGGATTTGCCATAACCAGGGCTGGGGGAGTGAATGGTGTTGTTAAAAAAGATTAGCAATTTCCCTGGCTGGTATTGCTCAGCTGGTTGAGCACCATTCTATGCACCCAAAGATTGCTGGTTCTATTCTAGGTCAGGGCACACACTCGATCCCCGGTAGGGGGCATAGATGTTTCTCTCTCACATTGATGTTTCTCTCTCACATACATGTTTGTTTCTCTCTCTCTCTTTCTCTCTTCTCTCTCTAAAAATCAATGTTTAAAAATCTTTAAGAAAAAAAAAGATTGGCAATTGCTAATGCTAGGCGATTAGTATAATGCTGTGACACACTATTCTCTCTGCTTTTGTATATATTTGAGATTTTACATAATAAACACTTTTGAAAAATTCTTTCTCATTCAAATTTTGATGTAAGTTTCTAAAATTTTTGCAGTTATCCGTCTTATCTCATGAGGCTTTAGAGACTAAATGAAATGGAGTAAATGTAATTAGATGAATGTTGAAATGCTGTCTTTTATTATGGAGGTTGGCAGAATAGAATAATAAAAAGCGCAAGCTTGATATTCTGCAATTCTGACGTATTACGTTCACCATCACTTCTCCAGTGATGCTTTTCATCACTGTCTTCCCTCTCTCAGCTCCTTCAAGACGGAAGCCCTGACAATCTTGTTTGCCATGGTATCCTCAGTGACTAACCCAATGCCCGGTAGAAAAGAATAAACTTGAATTCAAGTCTCTGTTCACAATGTTGAACAAGAACTGTGAGTGTTCAATTCTGTACCCGCCCTCACTGCCTCGATTCCACCAATATTTGTGGAAAGACAAGTTACTTAACCTCCCTGAGCCTCAGGCTCCTCGTCTATAAAACAGAAATATCTCAACAAGTCGATCGTACACACTGACTAAAATGGCTTTATTTGGCCATTCAGTCATTCATTCCACAAATATCTGTAAATTCTAAAAGTCCTACAAAAGTATGGAACAACGGGCTATATGGAGTGTCTGCTGTGTGCCGCAGTGTGACACATGCTAAGGACAACTATGAAGGTGAATATAGCACAATCCTTGATTCTGAGAAGTGTTCTGTCAAGTGGATGAGAAGAGAGAGGCTGAGATGACAATGTGAACTGGTAAGTGACACACCAGAGAACAACAGGAACTCTGCGCATTCCCACTGGGGAACACTCTCCTACCCGAGTTGATTTAAGGAAAGAAGTCAGCTCACTTCACTTCCCAGCATTATAAATGTCAACCCAAATTAAAGCGGACAGGAGGCATTTCTCTTACTCGGTCACTGCACTGAGGCTACAGATTCTTTCTGAAGACCCCAGCCAATGCTGAAAACCTTCCAAAGGAGTCAGATCCTTTTGTTTGTCTGGATTTCTGCCAGCAAACCAAAGGAGCCAAACAGAGCTACTGGCCCATCCGTTTCATATAACTGCCAACTCCCCCCCAGAAGACAATACCCTTCTGTTTCAAAGAAGCCCCTCAGCCACTCGTTCCATGTCAATCAACGGCCGAATTAAGACATAGATTCATGTCTTTCAGATCCAATTGCAAACACAAGGCCAACTTCTCATCTATTAAAAATAGGACTTATTCACTCATGTTACAAATATATATTTTTTTTAGTAACTTACCTCAAATTCTTCCCAAAAGCCTTGTTTGACTTTATCTGTGGTCTCGGCTAATTTGCTTAGTTCTCGAACCCGGCTCTCTATTTCAGCAGCATTGATACGAGTTGTGTTAAGGGGCTAATCAAATTCAGCCGTTGGTGTGAAAGGAAGAAAGTATTACAGAAAAAAAGTGTTAATGCCAAAAAACAAAACGTAACAGAGATGTCTGCTTTGGTATTCATTGAAGGCAAGGACAGGAAGTTCACAGGACATTGTAATTCTCAAGCATTTTCAAATACAGTTTCACTTTCTTTTCTGTTCTGTTGGGAAATAAATGTTTCTCCAATCTCCACACACACTTTACTCCGCTGGTATAAATTCAATCTGCTTTTTGTTATAATAGACCAAAATATTAGAGAGGTAAAATAATTTGCCACTAAGTGGTGAGTAAACTTTGAAATAGCAGTAACTCCAAAATGACTATGCACCTACAGTGAAAGGCCTTTTGGAGGTACCTATGGAGATAGTCATGGAAATGCTGTATCTGGAATTTCTTCCCAAATACCACAGGAAGAGGGGCCATAATTGGAGTAAAAAATGAAGTAGAATTTGATGCGATGATCATAACTGAAGCTGGGTGATGGGCACACAGAGGGTCGGGATACTATTCTACTTCTGTGTATTTGGAATATCCTACATTATGATTTTTCAGCTTTGCAAGGAGATGGCACTTTAGCTTTCTAACACGCTTACCTGCTTGAGCTGTAGAACTGTGCCCAATGTTTCTACCATGGGATTCTTCTTATAATGCTCCACGAGATCAGTCAAAGAGTCGAACCGCTCTCCTCCGCCAACATCATATTTCAGTTCCTTGCAACACAAAAAAATGTTTATTACCTCTATGTTAAATTACTGTTTTCCCAACTGAAGTCCAAAGAGGAACTCCCCACCACCCCCAGTAATGGAAAGATCAGACAACTGGGTAACAGCAAGAAAAGGATGCAACAAGAAGGGTGAAAATGGAATGACTGACCAAGAGTCTACCGTGAGGTGTGAGAAGCAGTAAGTAAGTATCCAACATCATGTAGGCCACAAGAAAGTTTCTCCTTCGTAAGTTAACTAAATAGTGGCTTTTTTAATGTTTTCATTGATTTCAGAGAGAGGAAAAGAGAGACAGAAACATCAATGATGAGAGAGAATCACTGATCGGCTGCCCCCTGCGCGCCCCGCTACTGGGGACCAATACTCAACCACTGAACCACAATGGCTGGGCTAACTACATAGTGTTAAAAAATGAAAAATAGTATTCTTTTTTTTTCTTTTTTCTTTTTTTTAAAATAGTATTCTTTATGTATACAATAGGCTGCTGAATAGAAGGTAAATAACTATTCCTCTCTGAAGCACAACAAACTCCAAGGCTGGTGGAGGCATGACTTAAACTGCCAGAGACTGGAAATAAATGATTTAGTAAAGTTTGAAATAAAAAAATTATAATTGCTAAAAGTGTAGAAGCCCTTGACTAAGTGAGCAAGAAAATCTGATTTTGGAAGTAATGGTATCTGTCTTCTCCAAGTGGAAAATCACCAAAGATGAGAATTGGCAAACAGATCCAAGTTCAACTGAGGCTTTACCTGACAGCGGATCATGACGTGGGTCACTTTGGACTTGCCATCATTGCTCTCTCCCTTGTCATCACCAGTTCGGACCGAGAGAACAAAATCTCCAGGGTGGCTCTGGCTCTCTCGTACCAGAAAGCTACCATGTTTTCCTTTCTCAGTTAATAACTTCTCTGCTTCTTTCCCGGAGAGGTGTCCATGAAACCACCTAAATATTTTAAAATGAAAATAAATTGAGTTCTGCCATGAAATCACAATACTCTTTCACAAAACTACCATATATAGTCAGCTCTCCTAAACATAATTTAAAAACACACACATTTTTCCAAGAGACGGAACGATAGATACCACATAAGACAGAACTTGCAACCCAAGCAGGCAGGAAGAATGACAAAGCTGTCAAGAATGACCATTAGCCCGGCCAGCATGGCTCAGTGATTGAGCATTGACCTATGAACCAGGAGGTCATGGTTCAATTCCCAGTCAGGGCACATGCCCGGGTTGCAGGCTCCATCCCTGGTGGGAAGTGTGTGGGAGACAGCCAATCAATGATTCTCTCTCATCATTGATGTTTCTCTCTCTCTTTCTCTCTCTCTCTCGCCTCTCTGAAATCAATAAAAATATATTTTTTTTAAAAAAGGAATGACCATTAAACTTCTTCAATGAGCCCCCAGTCATTTGACAAATGTCCTCAATCTTTCCTTTTTCTTTTACATATCCCACCTTTTAAAAATATATTTTGTCAGTTCTCCATACCCAGCATTAAAAGGCCCAACTACTTAATCACAGCCTTTTAAAGAAATTATAATAGAAAGTTATAGCAGAGACAGAGAATGACATAAATGTTTGTCCATAGAAAAACAAAAAGAATTGTATAAAGAAAAATAAATTTTTCGATAAAAAAAATAAAATAAATGTTTGCCCTCGCTCTGGTATATGAACAGTATGCAAAAAACATCTTCATTTTAAATTTATTCAAGCATTTCAAACTTTTCCATATTTACAACCTATACTTGCACAGCCTCTGAGTTTGCTAGCAACATCTTTGGCCTGTATGCTGGGTTATCATTTCAAACTGTAATGCATATAAGACCCAAATAGTTAAGGGGTCGTACTTAAAAATGAATTCCCATTGCTCACAACCAGAGATACCAATGCACTTGTATCTGCATTTGCAACCAGCACACCAGAGTCCTGACATAGGCCATTCGAGGACAGACGTTGAGATACTATAGAAAACCTTAACATAGTCATGTTTATTAGGTAGCTTTTTCCCCTCAGGATCTTGCTAAGAAAACAAGTACTATTCTGGCAGATGATGCTAATGGCTCATCACTAAAGGAATATACTTTGAGCTATTTTTCATCCACCCTCAACTGAACAGAGTAAAATTTAGAAATAAACTGCACAGGGTTGGCGGGCAGCCTTTTTCTGGAAGCTACAGTCACAGCTGGAGAAACAAATTATCAGCATATAATAGCATTGACATGGAGGTACAGGTCGAAGATACAAGATACACAAACCTAATTAAGAGACCCTGAATTTGTACTGAGTCAGAGGAGATGGGAATGTAGAAAACCAATAAAATCAATACAAATTAAGTCAAGCCCCAGTTTCCATCAGCCCAGTTCCAACACAGCAGTGGGGGGAGGGGGAGAAAGCTCTGAAATAATACATTCCCGCTAAGCAAGGTCATTCTCACACATCTGTGGGTGCAACGAAAAAGAGCTGCTGAAAAATCGGACCCTCGGAGTTCTCAGCTTTTCCACTTCTGAGCTTAAACTGACATCTGTTGGTGGCATTGCTGAATGGCTGGTCAGTAACTACTACCAAGAACGGCTGCGACTTTGGTGTCGCCATTATCATTTGTTTTCTTCTCATAACACTCAAAGATTATCTTAAAATTACTGCACCTACGAAGAATATACAGGAACAGCCCGAGCCCCTTGGAATGAGCATAAGTCACAATGACTGAAGCTTTTGTAAGAAAAGGGTATCCTGAGAATAATGTGATCCTATTATTCTTACTTTAATAAAACTAAAGGCTGCAGCTTGGGCTGAAAAAGGCAAAGGGATTAATTAAGATGTACAAATTCGCCCTAGCCAGTTAGGCTCAGTGGATAGAGCATCGGCCCACAGACTGAAGGGTCTCAGGTTCGATTTCAGTCAAGGACATGTATCTTGGTTGCAGGCTTGATTCCCCGGCCTGATCGGGTGGCAGAGAGTGGGACATGCAGGAGGCAACCAATCAATGTGTCTCTCTCACATGGATGTTTCTCTGTGTCTCTCCCTCTCCCTTCCATTCTCTAAAAATATCAATGGAAAATATCCTCAGGTTAGGATTAACAAACAAACAAACAAAAAGATATACAAATTGGCAGGTACAAAACAGACATGGGGATGTAAAATACAGCTTAGGGAATATAGTCAATAATATTGTAATAATGATATATGGTGTCAGGACTTATCAAGGGATTACTTTAAAAGTTATGTAAATGTCTAACCATGACACTGTATACCTGGAACTAATATAATATTGAATGTCAACTGTAATGGAAATTATTTTTTTGGAAATTTTAAAAATCAGATTGCAGCTTGATAAACAGGTACAAGCCAAACCCCCATAATGCATTCACATAACACCTCTGGTGCAGAAGAGACACAGAGACTGCAGTTACTAAGATGTCACTGACCTTTCAGAGGTAGGATCTGCACAGTTCAGCGGATATTTGAGCTCAATAACATCTCCATTCTTCTCTTTCAATTGCCCATGATGCTCCATGTAATACTGAACCAACTCAGCCAAAGTGGCGAACTTCTCCCCTCCGTACAGGTCATAGTAGTCACCAGTGTTCTGAATCTTGATGTGGGTGACAGCTCCATTTCTTCTAAAATAGTCCATCAGAAAAAGAGGGAAATAAATAAAACACTACACTATCACAACAGATCTCATATTCATCATTAGATTTCATCTAAACTTTAAAACAAACCCAAGGAACTATTCCCCGTAAGAAACCCAGTGAATGAAAGAACCACACAGTCCGTCATCTCAACACAAAGGGCTCTGTTTATTGGTTTCTTCCCTTGTACAGCTTCTACTTTGAAAGTCTAACTTATCCAATTGCATATTTTAAGTGACAATTTTTTTCATCATTAATCGAGACACAAAATTAAAAGTTAAACAAATATACATCTACCGTGTAACCCAGTAAATCCAATCCTAAGTATCTTGCCCAAAAGAAATGAAACTGTATGGCTATCAAATGACTTACATAAGAATATTCACTGCAGCCTTATTTATAATAGAAAGAATTGAAAACTCAAATATTTACCACCAAAACGGATAAACAAATAGCTGCATACTCATATAATGGAATACCGCACAGCAATTTAAAAAACCCACCAAATACATGCAACACCATAGATAAATCTCAAAAACATTATGTTATTAGAGAAAAAAACAAGATACAAACGAATATATATTTGTTTTAATATATTTTATTGGTTTCAGAGAGGAAGGGAGAGAGAGAAACATCAATGATGAGAGAGAATCATTGATCGGCTGCCTCTTGCACGCCTCACACTGGGGACAGAGCCCACAACCTGGGCATGTGCCATTGACCGGAATTGAACCCGGGACCCTTCAGTCCACAGGCCGAAGCTCTATCCACTGAGCCAAACCAGTCAGGGCTAAAAAAAAATTTTTTTAAACTATACATATAACAAAAAACTGAATAAAAAATGAAATGAATCTAACTTTGAAGCTCAACTACACAGAAAATTAATTCCTGTAACTTTGAACACTGTACTAATTGTACACCCTTAATGGGATATATTCCAAGAACAAAAAGACTCCAAAGAAACCATAAACTTTACTTAATGGGTTGGTAATCAGAAATGGCAGTGGTAGAGTCATTCTGAATCTATTTCAGTATCTAAGAATCGGGCCAATGAGGTCACATATTGATGCTGTGTGGAACAGGGCTCTACTAACTTAACCTGTGCCTCAGCTTCCTCACCTAAAGATAAAGATAATGTGGTACTTATTCAGAGGCTGGTGGGAAAAGTAAATAAAATGATGTGTCTACAGTGTTTAGCTCAACTGGCTGGAATATGTCAAGTCCCCAATAATTTTTCTATAACCATCATCATCATCATCATTATATGATCTCCATCCAAACTCTTACAGGGTCAAATATCACTTTAGGTTCAATGTCAGTGCTGGGACAAGCCCAGAGGACTCATGAAGGAGTCCACCCATTCCAAATCATAAAACGGAAGTAAAGGCCAATGACAGAGGCTCCTTAAAAACTAAACTGCATCGAAAGGGACTTCCCGAGTCCCCAAGTGACCCTACACGCATCCCCAAGAACACATCTTACTAACTTCTTTATTTAAAAATATCCTCATAAAATCAAATTCATAAAGCAGTTCAGTTCTAACTCCCGGAATGAGCCTGAGTAAAGAGAATCAGTATTTGAGAGAAAGTCAATGTCTATCAAATTCTCCTATACCTGTGGTCGGCAAACTGCAGCTCGAGAGCCACATGCGGCTCTTTGGCCCCTTGAGTGTGGCTCTTCCTAAGCCTTAGGAGTACTTTAATTAAGTTCATAACAATGTACCTACCTATATAGTTTAAGTTTAAAAAATGTGGCTCTCAAAAGAAATTTCAATCGTTGTACTGTTGATATTTGGCTCTGTTGACTGAGTTTGCCCACCACTGTCCTCTACCTACTCAAAGACTCAGGTAACAGGTTTTGGCCATGCTGTACAAAAATGTTTATACAGGCCCAGCTGGCATTGCTCAGTGGTTGAACATCAACTTATGAACCAGGAGGTCACAGTTCGATTCCCAGTCAGACCATGTGCCTGGGTTGTGGGGTGTGCAGGAGGAAGCCAATCAATGATTCTCTCTCATCAATGATGTTTCTATCTCTCTCTCTCTCCCTCTCTTTTCCTCTCTGAAATCAATACAAATATATTTTTATACAAACTAAAAACAGCCCAATGTTCAACAATAGGGGACTGGGTAAACTATGATGTGTTCACACCATTCAAAGATTATAGGGCCATTAAAATTAATAATTAAATCTATAGACACCAGCATAGAACTTAAAAAAAATGTTTAAGAAAGTTGCAGAATAATACGTATGTTATAAAGCCATGGATATGAATTCTAAACACACACACACACACCAACTTGACCTTGTTCATACACAGTACAAATGCAGTACAAGTATAAAGGTATGGCCAGGAAGGATATATGCCAACCTCTCGATGGTAGTTTCCTCTGAGGAGAGAGGAAGGGGAATGGGACTGGGCAGGGGAACGCACAGGACCACAACTTCCTCAATGATATTTTATTTCTTGAAAAAGACAAATGGCCCTAACCGGTCTGGCTCAGTGGATAGGGCGTCGGCCTGCGGACTGAAAGGGTCCCAGGTTCGATTCTGGTCGAGGGCATGTACCTTGGTTGCAGGCACATTCCCAGTAGGGGGTGTGCAGGAGGCATCTGATCGATGTTTCTAACTCTCTATCCCTCTCCCTTCCTCTCTGTAAAAAAATCAATAAAACATATTTTAAAAAAGAAAGAAAAAAAAGACAAATGAAACTCTTTGGAAGTATTTTTCCCAGAGATCAATGGAAGGGAAGGAAAAATGCAGGGATCCAGGTTCAGGATGAGTGGCTTCAAGGGTGGCTCAGGAAGTGGTTATACTCGGCTCCAGCTCAGCCTCGGTGGTCTCGAGGATGCCCACCATCACCCCCTTCCGCTGAAGTCCCAAACCCCTCACTCTCAGCAGGCCGAGCCTGAGTCAGGTCTGATCAGTGGGCCAGGCCTCACCAAGGGCAGCAGGCAGACCTTCAAACTCTACACAAGGGCAGCAAGGGTCCACTCGTGGTTTCAACATTTCCTACCCGGAAACCACTCTCGGGAGTCTCTCCTTTTCTTCCCACTTACCTAACGGAAAGTGTGAAGTCTCCTGGGTTACTCTTACTGGGCCTTGCCAAAAAACTGCCATCAACTCCTCTTGTCAGCAGTAGGTTTTCGGCCTCCACGCCAGTGATATTTGGGTGAAACCATCTTGAGAGAGAAAGAGAGAACAATGAACAACAGGATTCTGTCAGCACTACGTTCCACACCATCACAGCTGAAATGCCTATGAGCAGATCGGCTAATAAAAATACAAATCAAACCTTCCCTGCCCCTTCCCCCTCTTCTCCTTGGTCACTGCCTCTCCTTGCCATCCCCTTGGTAGGGCCTGGGATCCTGCTAGCCCAGTAGGTGGGGGAGGGGACCTGAATATTAACCCAGTCACTTAGTGGGTCAAGCCCAAAGGGACAGTCCACCTGGTCAGGAGATTGAACACATGGAGTGGAACTGAACAAGTAAGTACTGAGTCACACCAGCCAGGGCCAACCAGCCAGGCAAGAATCATCAATGGATGTTAACCCTAATGGTGAACATTTCAGGAGAGATCGAATATTTACTGCAATCCCCACAAAATGCTTACTAATTACGTGTTAACTGATAAGTAAAATATACTAAAGAACTTCACAGTAGAGAATCTGCAGATACTATCTTAATCAACTGGTGAAAGTTAACATGAACAGTTATGACATCATGTGCCTCCTGACAGCATCCACAGAGAAGAACACAGCGTCATGTCTGTAATATTCCTGCTAAAAACGCATTACCTAATCTAATTATGAGGAACACAGACAAACCCGAAATGAGTGACATTCCACTAACCGGCACGTACTAGTCAAAGAACTATCCAGATTGCAGGCCCATAACAACACACAAGTAATGCAAGGCATGGTTCTTTCTGGACTGTATCAAGGAGCAGAGGGAAGGGAAATAAAGGGAAAAGAAGGGTTTCGTTGTTTGTTTTGTCTTTTGCTGTATTACAGAGACAATTTGAAAGGGGGACAGTAATGTGATGATAGCACTGTTTAAAGCAAATTTCCCTGAGTTTGATGAGTGTGATTATGTGTGCGAGTGTCCTTGTTTTTAGGAAATACACACAGAAGAATTTTGGAGTAACAAGGCATCAAGTTTGCCACTTACTCTCAAATAGTTCAGATGGTATTCACCTCAAAAAATTCCTCTCTCATTTCCAGCAAGATTTCCTTCATGGGCTCCAAAGGTCACAAGATTTGCGGTAAGAAGAGTCATTCCTAAAGTCCAATTATCCTGGACCTTTACAGGCTAATTCAATGCTTCCAGGAACATAAGTCAATATTAAAGGTAGAGTCCTGATACTGACAGTTGAGTGAACTTTTAAGAGACTGCTCAAGCCCTAACCGGTTTGGCTCAGCAGATAGAGCATCAGCCTGCGGACTCAAGGTCCCAGGTTCGATTCCGGTCAGGGGCATGTACCTTGGTTGCAGGCACATCCCCAGTAGGGAGTGTGCAGGAGGCAGCTGATCGATGTTTCTCTCTCCATCGATGTTTCTAACTCTCTATCCCTCTCCCTTCCTCTCTGTAAAAAATCAATAAAATATATTTTTTAAAAAAGAGAGAGAGAGACTGCTCACCAATATCGGCCCAATCACAGTGTTTTACAACCGAGAAGGAGACAGCGCAGGGTGAACATCTGCCGTAAGCCATGCATTAAGGACATGGAGCGTCCTGCAGCCACAGGACTACGGCAGATCACACAGGCAGGTGCACATCTGAGCGCTACCACTTACTAGCTCTGTGACCTCGGCAAGTTCTTTCACCTCAGATTCCTCATCTGCAAAACGGAAATGATAGTTCTTAGGTCCTTTTTTTAAAAAAAATGTTTGTATTAATTTGAGAGAGAGGGGGAGAAGAAGAGAGTGAAATATCAATGTGAGGGAGAAACGTGGATCGGCTGCCTCCTACACACCCCGCACCAGGAATCGAGCCTGCATCCCAGGCATGTGCCCTGACTGGGAATCTAACCGGCAACCTATTGGTGCACAGAATGATGTGCAACCAACTGACCCACACCAGCCAGGATAAAAGGAAAATAATCTTTATCTCCCCTCTATGGAAAGTGAAGTGTTGTGCTCTCTCCCAACAGCTTACTCCATTATAAGTCTTCATTTGATACTGCAGGCTCAGAGGTTGCTTCATTTTTAATCACTGGTCATCCAGCCTGGGCCACGTCATCTATCTGCTGAGCTGGTCCCTTACTGTCACCACTGTCATCTCTTCCTTCTTTTTTAAAATAGGTTCTGCCCTGGCCGGGTGCTCAGTGGTTAGAGCATCAGCCTGTGGACAGAGGGGTCTCAGATTTGATTCCTGGTCAACGGCACATACCTCAGTTGCAGGTTCCCCAGCCCCAGTCAGTGCACATGTGGAAGGCAACCAATTGATGTGTCTCACATCAATGTTTCTCTCTCTCCCCCTCCTTCCTCCCTTCCACTCTCTAGAAATCAATGGGAAAAATATCCTCGAGTGAGGATTTAAAAAAAAAGAAGAAGAAGGTTCGCCCTAGCCAGCTTGGCTCAGTGGATAAAGCGTCAGCCTGTGGACTAAAGGGCACATGCCTGGGTTGCGGGCTCGATCCCCAGTGGGGGGCATGCAGGAGGCAGCTGATCAATGGTTCTCTCATCATTGATGTTTCTATCTCTCTCTCCTTCTCCCTTCCTCTCTGAAACCAATAAAGAAATTTTTTTTTTTAAAGTTCTAAAAGAATTTCCCATGTTTGTCCTCTGCCTCACCACTGTGACGGCTGCCTCAAGTGCAATGCTTATGGCCTCCATCAAGATCTTTTGATTTAGTTATCCTGACTTTCACTCCCATTTCATCTTTCCTTATCTCAGCCAGCTATTTTAGGATTCTCTAATTTTTCATAGAATCTGTATCCTTCCAGATCTTGTGAAGAATAAAAAAAAAAACTTTCTCAAATCGCTTTAATTCATTTGTTATAATAGCACAGATAGGTGTGAAATTCAAAGAAAAAGCCCATGCTTCTCTTAGAGTCCCGGGTGCACTCTTCAGAAGTAGCTACAGTTAGCAGCTTCTCGATCTTTAAGAAACGTCTCATGCATAAACATACAAACTTATCTATGTGTGCAAACACACTGCTGCCTCCGAGCCCACCTGTGTGAAACACACACACACACAGAATCCTCCTGATCTTCTTCACTTACTATATCAGTGCATTCTTTTTTTTATTCCCAGGGAGGAAGGGGGAGAGAGGGAGAGAGGGAGAGAGGGAGAGAGGGAGAGAGGGAGAGAGGGAGAGGGGGGTGGGGGGGAGAGAGAGAATGAGAGAGAGAGAGAGAGAGAGAGAGAGAGAGAGAGAGAGAGAGAAACATCAATGATGAGAATCATTGATCAGCTGCCTTCTGCATGCCTCCTACTAGGGATCGATCCCACAAGCTAGGCATTTGCCCTGACCAGGAATCGAACTATGACCTCCTGGTTCATAGGTCCATGCTCAACCATTGAGCCACATCAGCCTGGCAGTACATTCTTTTTAATAGCTACACAATATTCCATTGTATGACTACACCATCCATAATTTAATTCCTATTCCAGGATACTCATATTATTGCTAGGTTTTTTTATTATTACAGATAACACAGCAGGCCCTAGCCGGTTTGGCTCAGTGGATAGAGTGTCAGCCTGAAGGGTCCTGGGTTCCATTCCAGTCAAGGGCATGTACCTCGGCTGCTAGCTCGATCCCCAACCTGGCCCTGGTTGGGATATGTGCTGAAGGCAACCAATCAATGTGTCTCTCCCCCTCCCTTCCATTTTCTCTTAAAAGCAATAGAAAAATATCTTCAGGGGAGGATTAACCAAATAACACAGCAGAACGCATCCTTTACAAGCACCTGTCCACACTTTTACAAGCATATTTATAAATTAAATTTTTAGAAACAAAAATTGCTTTGTCAAGACTTTTTCTTTTTACTTTGACAAATTTGCCAAACTGCACACAAAAGGAGACACCAGTTTCAACTTCCACAAATTGACTGTGAAAGTCCCTGCGTTCTCTCACTTTTACCAATACTACATACACTGCCAAACGTTTTCATCTTTGTCCATTCTGCTTCACGGGAAACTGTGCCATTCTAGTTTGCATTTTTATGTGAGACTAAGCACTTTTTCATGTTTCTGGCCACTTCCCCCCTCCCCCTTTTTCTGTAAGCTGCCAGTTTTCATTGCTCGTTTCTATTGGATTCTTTTTCTTACTGATTTATAGGAGCGTTTCATATAACAGAAAATGATTCTTTATTGCATGCGTGGCAAGTATCCATCTTAGCTTATCCCCTTTTACTCTGTCTGTGGTATCTTTCTCCCCACAGAAGTCTACCTGAGCATGATGATAATTATCAGATTTTTCTTTTACAGCTTCTGGGTTTCTGGTTATACTTAGAAAAAACTTAACTCATAGTACTGCTGTGAGATGGAAATAAATTATGCACATAAAATGCTTGGCACAGAACCAGCCAGTAAAATTTCACCTTAGGAACAAGAAATTTCATTTTCAGTCAGAAAAAAATACAATTAAGTCACAGATGTTAGCGGGACCCACCAGGTCTGGCCCCTACTTGACTCTCCGGCTCGGGTGACCTCCGTTTTCCGTAAATGTGCCACATGGGGCCTCTATACTTCCTTTTCTCCACATTCAGATCCCTACCCCCATCCTACCTTCTCCATGTGCCACAAGCTCCCCCTCAGTGATACCAACGCGGGTCCCAATCACACATTTCTACAGTTTCCAGGTCACAGGCTGGACGGGCAACACCGTGAGGGCAGAGAAGCTGTCTACATCTTCCCCACGTGTAGCCCCTGGTAAGGAGTCAACACTTTGTTCCTTAATAAATACCTGTGGCTGGAAGGGAAGGAAAAGGGTAGGCCTGGGGTGAGCCCGTCCGGGCCTCTCCCACATCTACACAGCTCCCCATCTGACCTAGGTCGGGTCACAGGATGACTCCTGCACGGTCAGGAGGAGGCACAGATGTCAGCAGGCAAAGGTTCTTTTCTCACTTAAAATATCAAAATGTGCCCAGCAGCTGTGGCTCAGTTTCACTTCCCGGTCAGGGCACATACCCAGGTTTCTGGCTTGATCCCTGGTGGGGGGGTGTAGGAGTCAGCTAAAAGATATTGATGTTTCCCTCTCATTGATGTTTCTACCTCTCTCCCTCTCCCTTCCTCTCTCTCTAAAATAAATAAAAACTATTTCAAAAGAACAGCCATTGTCTCTGATTTAAATATATATATATATATATAAAAATTTGGTGATTCCAAATGCATGGGGAGGCTTTGGGGCAAGTTTTTGGCTTTTGCACAAATGCCTTAGACATTCACTTTGGAAATTATTATTAAAATTACTGTAGTTAGGCCCTAGTCAGTTTGGCTTAGTGTATAGAGGTCAGCCTGCGGACTAAAGGGTCCCTGGTTCGATTCTGGCCAAGGGCATATGCCTGGGTTGCAGGTTTAATACCGCCCGGGGGGGGTGTGCAGAAGGCAGCCAATCAATGATTCTTTCTCATCATTGATGTTTCTATCTCTCTACCTCTCTCCATCTCTCTCCCTTCCTCTCTG